ATATTTTTATAAAGATACTGTACGAGTATGGCATTTATATAAAATCAAATACATATTTGGAACCAAACTCTCGAATTAGAAATATGTAATTTTCTTTTTTCTCATTTTGTATTTAATTTATGCTTAAATTTATAAGATTTAGAATTTTATTTAAAACATAATTAATTTTTTTTCTTGATAATACTTGTAGATTAATCAGATAATATATATAACGTACGAAACTACTAGTTTAGTTAAATTCATAATTTATATTGATATATAATTTAATAATTAATTACTTATTCTTAATTTTAAAGCAATTTTTAAGCGATTTGTTATTATGTCAATTTTATATATATATATATATATATATATATATATATATATTTAAGCATATTAACATGGTCAATGATGTATGCAAATTCATTTTTGATTATTAATAAAATTTATTAATAATTAGCTACTAATAATATTCAAAATTTTAATTGTTACCTTAAATAAGGTATTGTCAATATATTAAAAATATCACATATATAATTTATAATAGATAAAGAATATTACGACACATTTTTGCACAAATTCGAGAATTGGTTCGTGATTATCATTAATATAATTTATAAATTTTATAAATTTTTCGATTAAGTTATTTTTTTAATATATAATGCAATAAAAATGTTTTTAATTACAATCATAAGAATTAATGAAACTTTTAAACTATTAAATTATTAATTTATTTAAAAAAAAAATGCAAAAATTGAATTAGCAACACATAATATAGAATAAAATGTATTAAGGCATATATACCAGTTTAAAAAAATTGATAATAAAAAAAATTTATTCATTTATTTTTATTAAAATCATTAATATTATAAATTCAAAGATTTTGAAATCTTATTTCTATCCAGGGATGTAAAAATAAAATACGTTTATTTTATTTAATAAAATATTTAGAATTTTTTTAAAACTGTATAAACATTTCTAAATAGATTTTTAAACTTTCTATTAATATAATAAAATGAAATGAAAAATAAATATTAAATAAAATAAATTAAATGAAGTAAATTCAAGTTAATTTTAGAAATAGTGTTGCTAATAAAAACAAAAATATTAAATCATAAAAAATTATGATTGTAAAATCTACAAAGATTTTGAATTTTTTATTGATTCTTGTAAAATAAATTCTTTCTGATTCATATTGAAATGGCAAGTATTAATTGAGTACTGGCGTAAAAATGAATATATTATATTAAAATTTTCAAAAAGACGATTATATTATTAATTGATAAAATATTTTACATCACATTCTGATATTTTTATTTTAAAATCTTATTAATTATCATAAAGAAAGAGTTTTATATTACGAAAAAAGATTATAACCTCTTTTACGTCCAGTCTTCAATTATCTTTCATTAACATATAAAAGAAAATGATTCTTCTTAATAAATCATCAAATATTAATAAAATATTGACACTTGATTAATAAATTATGCTAATAATAATCTTGTTAAAATTAAATACTTAAATATATAATAAAATAAACACTTTATACTATCGAAAAACGCAACTACGTTTTTTTCGCGATTCACTTAACTAGGTTAGAACGACAAGGCGTATTCTTTTTTTCATCTTTTTCTCTTCTCTTTTTTCTTTCAATTAACTACACAAAAGTTTTGCACTACTATTACAGAAGTAATATATTGACGGGATTCCAATCCCTTCAAACATATTGAATGAAATAAGAGATTTTCGTGAATTGTTATATGAACTTTGAAGAAAATCCTCCGTTACGTGAATTATAGGTTAATAGAAAATCGTTATGTTAATGTTATATTATTGAAAATCGTTTATACTTGTTCGTGAATGAGTGAAAAATTGATCTCTAGAAAGTTGAACTTTTAATTAAAATTCAGCAATGCAAGATATATCTCCTAATACGTGATTAAAGACAATATTTTTTTTATCTTTGGTGATACTTAATGTAATTACAAAATAATATTTTGATAGATCTCTATGAACAATTATCAGTCATTTTTTTCTTTTTTGACTCACATTTTTTAAATTTCATTTGGATTAATAATCTAGTTAATAATTTTTTACGAATATTTGCAAAATGTTTGACATTTTGTTTATATATCATTTTATTATAAATAAAGTTATTTAATATATTTATACATTTAACTAAAATTAATTTTAAGTTAAATTAAAATTAATTCGAATTTAATTGAGTTAAAGTTGAATAAAATTTCATTATTCCTTAATTTGCAAAAAGTAAGATAATAATACTAAAAATACTAATTACTCTAATATATGAAAATGAAATTACAAAATTCGAGAATATTATTTCAATTGAAATAAGTAAAATATATCTTAAAACAATAATATTGTAGAAAATGTATATTATTACAGATTTTAGAAAAGTTCTAAGATATCACCATACAGACTTCTAATTTTTCAAAAGTCTTCGAACGGCGGAGTATCGTTGATCGCAAAACGAAAGTCGAACACTTTGCGTGTAGGTAATTCATTTTGATCAACATTAGACAATTTTCACATAACACGTAAACGTCAGTTTTCTTCGTTTTCTCTTATTTCTTTTCTCTCATAATATCTGAACTTTTAGAGATCTATGATATTGAGAAAAAGAAGAACATTTCGAGGTAATCAGACATTTTACACACAGCGAGTTCTCGCATTGACTACTCATCGGAAGGAGTGCACTAAATATTTACTAAAAATAGCTTATATAAAAACATCTGTTTGACAGCAATAGAACTTTCTACTTATTTTTCTTTTTTTTTTTTTTTGGTCTATTTTATATAATTAGCATTTACAGCTTCGATTTCTTATTATAATAAAAATACTATATAGACATGGACCTTGAACTTACGGATTACGACTTCTTTAATAATTCTCTTTTCTTTTTCTTTTCATTCTTTAACTTTTTATTGAATATAAGTGCATTTTGAAATTAGTTCTCTCTGTCATTTTTTTTTGTACTGCTCTAAATGTACTATGCATTCTCATTTTTTTGTTTTCTCTCTTTTTTTTTTTTTTTTGTTAATTAATTAATTGGGAAGACTTTGGCGACAAATGGCAATATCCATGCACTTCCCTTTTAGAATTTGGCTCTTTTTTACTTTCTGTGATCTTTGGTTTGAAGATTTGTTATACAGATATAAAGTATATATATAAATTAATAATATATATATAAATTAAAAAATATAAAATAAATATAAATATAAATAAGATATAAATAAATAAATAATTTTAGTTTTAACAAAAATTATATTAAAATATATATAAAAAAAAAAAAAAGAAAAATAAAATTTTTCTTAAAGAATTTTCTTATTATTATAAATTATTTTTTTTCTTTTTTTTTTTTTTGTTTCTATTGAACAAAATAAAAATCGTCAAACCAATCTCTCTTTTCCTTCTAATTAACTATTATTTGGGAACATTAAATATAATACCGGGACAGGATAATGAAATTTGTACTCGGCAACGCCCGATATCATAGTTTTATTATTACGATTTAATCATCGTAATCATGATGTCGAGATGGACATCTTTTTCGCGCAGTAGAACTCGTCTCGAATATTCTTTTTAAAGCAAAAAAATCATCATAGAAGTTAATGTTTGGATGCGAGCACTATTGCGAGCCGAATCGGGAAAACAGGTGCAACACAACAGAATGCTCATTGCGCAATAGAAAATTATCATTTGTTCTGCTATACGGCGGCAAGACGATACTGTATTTACAAATTGATTGGCACTTTCTTCAGTTTGGAGAGTACATTTTGATGGGGATGCGATTGATTCCGATGCGTGGTCAACCGAGAGAATTTCAAATGCGAATACGTATCAAACGAGAATAATCGAATTTTTCTAATAATTTTTAAAATTTTCTTTTGATTATTGGAATAGCGTTACATTCATAATTGTTTTTATAAGTTATTTTTGAAAAAAGAATAATTGAATTAAAAAATTTCATTATTGAAATTGGTTCTAAATTTTTAATAAAATGTTCTGAAATATATTGAGCAATGATTGATAATTCATCTTATTCTAATATTTGCATATAAACAATAAATACAATAGAAGAATTAGTATATTGAAAACATGCAGTGCAATAGCAATGCAATTTAGAAAAGTGATTGTACATTGGGTATATTCCATTAGAAAGTAAGATCATAGAAATTCACTTTCCTTAGAAGCAAAGTCTCTTGAATATGAATGAACATCATTTAACTTGGAATTTTCTTATGTGTGAATTTCCATTTCTAATTTATAAATATCTTATCAAAATTCATTCAATATGATTTCAAGTTTTTCAAACTGTAACAAAAAAATTGCAATATATTCAATTTTTTCAAACATTTAAAAATCAATATTTTTCTCCTCATTTGATACGTCTCGATATAAGCAAGGTAGAAATTCCAGTTGCTATAACACACACGTAACTAGTATGTACAACTGTAACTATGGACAGTTAATTTCACGCCTACTCCGCACGAACGTGTCTCATCATCTTCTCTTTTTTTTACCATCCTCTTGGTTAAGTTTCTTATTTATGAAGTTGAACACAATTGTTGACAGTATTCAATCACAATAGTTAACTCGCAAATAATTAGCGATATATATGTGTACTCGATTTTCCATAAACTTCTTTTAAATTCTTCTTTGTTGCTTGCCGATTTGTTTCATCTTCTTCATTTCTTTCTTCCACATTTTTCTTTCTTTCTATATTATAATTTGTAGACTGCATCGATTAAAGTTCAATTATTAAGAAGGATTCAGTAGGATCCAAAAAATCTTCAAAACAATGCACGTGAAAAATGAACGTGCATGAGTTATGATGAAATTGAAATAGATTATGTGCGTTGTAGTGATCCAATATAATGTGATATGAAAGATAAGATATTGAGTTTATGTCATATGTATATGATCGGCCTTAAAATCGACGCATTCGTAGCGGAGGAATAACCGATCTGATCGGTTTTGTTTAGCGTCGTTTCATCTACGTTTGAGGTAGAGTAATTCGGGAAAGAGAACAAAGTGAAGTGTCACTGGTAGATGATAGAATAGCAGAGAAATCTTTGGCAGTATAGTGTTTATTCTTTTCTTCAGCCGATTCCGAGTATTCGATCGTCTGGTCGCCGTTGCTGCTTTTTCCGCCATTACTTTGCTCCTGGTATCTTGCCTAACACCTGAAAATGATTTAAATGATGAAACGTTGTATAATGTTAAAGTTTTATATAATAATAAACTAAAAGCTTAAAGATGTGATGTTAATGCGATATTACATTAAATTGTGAGAAAATTGTAAGAAAATTGCTTGCTTTGGACATCTGAATGTGACAGTGTTCAATAGGAATTTTATTTCAATATTTTGTCAATATTCTGGATTTTTTAAGGATCAAATGATGTTATCTTCTATGTTATATTCTAATGTAAGAAGTTTTAAACAATAGGAAAATATATAAGCCTGCAAAAGCCTCAAAATTTTAGATTACTTATTATAATAATATAAATTATTACATTCTACTATCTATTAAAATATTCTATATAGAATCATAAAATTACATACACTTAGATATATTTCAATTTTATTTAGATTTAATCTATTTCTCATACTCAATAGAGAAATTGAAATATTTCATCTTTGAAAGTTCGTGTAACTTTTATTTAAATCTACAGTACTTTCGATACCGAACGTTATCTTTATACACTTTCTAAGAGGCCAGTGGCCTCTTAAACATACTTTTGAAATATCTACACCGGTCAGTGCTTGAACAGCTGGAGGTACTTGCCCCACAAGGCGTGTAATTTCTCCGCTAGTCGCGTCATTTCCACCAAGAAGAACGATTTCCTCTGTTCTCGCTAGTGGTGCGGCTACTTCTGCTGCAATCTGAAATAATGGAGCATATTAATTGATAGTATGTTCGTAAATATATTATTAAGTATTATTACATATTTTTTAATAATATGAAAAGGGATAAATTCTAAATTTTAAAAAATATTCTATTTTTTTAAATATAATACCATTTTTATTTTTTTTTGTTTGAAAAATTTGATTAAAAATATAAAATTTCAAAATTTTTTTTATAGTCCGATATATTTATAAAATTAATGTCAGAACTTATAATACACATTCATAATATATGTTTATAATACACGAATTTATAATACACGATAATATCACGATTATCACGAGCAAGTGAACGATCTCTCACCTTTGGCAAAGCATTGAGTGCAATATTCAGAATAGCAGCTCCGCCGTACTTCTTGTAGACAGCGGCTTTCATCTGCATACGTTGAGCTTCTGATACTCCAATCGCTTCTAATGCTTGAGCCTCGGCTGTTCCAATCAATCGAATCCTCTCAGCTTCAGCTATAGCCGCGTTCACGGTCTGTGTTCTAAAAATGAGAAAATTATTAAAGCATATCTACGTTTAGAATAACGAGGAAAATTGATTTGATTTTGTTGAAAGTTAAGTTCAATCTAATTTTTTTTTTATGAATAAATAAATTATTTTAATTAGAATGTATAATCTTAACAGTAAAAATTTACTGTTAAGAGGTTAAGAAGTTTTAAAGATTATGAATTAAAATAGCTAAGTCAAAAATGATATATTTTTATTTTTTTTATTACTATTTTAATTAGTATTTTAAATTGATTAATCTTCTTCTAATCTTCTAATCTTCTAATATTTTTTCCATAAATTCAATATACAGAATTTCAAATTACCTCTTTCCTTCGGCTACTTTGCCAATTTTATAATGTTCAGCCTCCGCGGGTAATCTCACAGTGCTTTGAAGCTCATGTTCCTTTCGACGTACCTCTTGTTCCTCAACTTCGATCTGTTTACGCCTTTCCACCACCTCTATTTGAATCTCCTCGTTTCGTATTCGTTGCCTTATTTTTGCCGCTTGAAGTTCGTAAGCTAGTTGTGCCTCTGCTTTCTATATATCCGATCCAATCAGTTTTATTAAAATTCTATATATCCTTCTGATGAAAATATTCGATCATAATTGAATCTTTCGACCGTGACTTACCGCCGTATTCACTTCCTGATCGAAATTCGCTTTCTGCAGTTGAAAGAGTCTGGCATTGTCTTCGATCTTTGTGTCGGTATTATATTTTATATCCATCGCTGCTTTCTCACATTCTGCCTCCTGTTGATCAATTTTGCACGAAATACGAAATAAATATCGATGAGTATTTAATCATCTATATACATATAACATTTACTAATTAATTAAGTTCATATAAATTATATTTTACATTGTTTAATCTAGTTTTTAGTTCTATACGATTGCAAAAATGCAATGAAAATAGAACTTTAAAAAAATTCACTAATACTAATACTAATCATAATTATAATTCCTAAAATTTTTCTAGTTTCTCACTAGATATAGATACACTAGATATAGATATACTATAGTTCCTACTGTTTTACCATAACTATATATAAGAAATAAAGAAATATTATTAATAGTTATAGAAATATCACGAAAATATCGATTTATACATTGTTAATAATATTTCTAATAATAAGTTCAAAAAATATAAATATAAATAAATAATAATTTCGATATTTATTTTCATTATCGATTTTTTAACGACATTATCGACATATCGACCTATCGACAATATGTCGATATTATCGATGGTCACAATTCTAATCGAGATTATTTTTCAGACGTGAACGTACTCGAATGCCAGCATCACGATTCGCCTCGGCGACGCCGACATCGGCATCCCGTTTGACAGCCGCAGTTTGTGCCTTGCCAAGTGACGCCAAGTATTGAACGTCGTCGTATACGTCTTTTATCGTGAACGATAAAATTTCGATTCCCATGCGACCAACATCTGGCGCCGCTACCTCTCTCACCAGTGTCGCGAATTGATCCCGATCTTTGTACACCTCCTCTACCGATAATGTGCCTGAAAGTTATCCACAGTTTTCCTATTTAGATAAACGGCCATATTTGAAATATGGATCCCAAAGGGAAGAGACGGATTTGAATGTTTTATTTTACGATCCATAAATGTGCACGTTATTATTATTATATATTTTTAATAGTTATGAATTGAATATATATGAAATTTAATTATTTATATAGTTTGAGACGAATTGAGATAAAATAATTGAACTTTGGACAAATACATATTTTAAATCACTTATGAAATGATGTGAGAACGGTTAGTCATTTTACATTTAATCTTTAATTTGATTATTTATTTATCTTTCTAGAATATTGTAATTTTGAAACTTTTATTATTCGTAGTGAATAGAATAATAAATTATTCTTTTGTAAAATATTTAAATTTGACATTTGCCATTGTTATGTATAAGAACCTACTGTATAAGAACTAAAAATACTCGTTTTTCTTTATTGCTCAATACGTCTTTCAATTCATTGTACGCGATAATTGTTAAATAGAATGTTTCACACTTTCATAGTTCGAACATGTTCATTTTTTTCTTTTTTTAATATTCTTTCTAGAGATATACCTAATATCGCACGAAGATGACCCTCGAGGGTAGAAAGAATTGTCGATTTGATTTCGTAAACGCTTTTTCCTAAAAATTGTTCGCTGGCAGTGTGGAGGAGTTCATCAGCCTTCATGATCTTGCACTGTGCTACTCCTGTGACGGTCAATGGTACTCCCTGTGCGGTTTCCACGCTTTCACAGACAGGATTCAGTGTCATCACCTCGAGAGATAATCGTTGGACGTCGGTTACGAACCACCACGTGAACGCATAACCACCTACGATGGTCCTCTTCTTCATGGACCCGCAACATCCTCCTGAAAATCGAAAAACAAATTTAGTACAAATTGAAAAATATTTTGAAATTCAATTTTTATTATATGTTATTTGAATAAAAATAAACTATGATTAAACATAATCATAAATATAATCAATTAATTTCTAAAGAGATTATGTATTGTTTTTCAGTGGAGATTATGTGGATTACGAGGATCAATAATCTGAATATCTCGATACGTATAAAATGATATAATTTTAATGTACTATTGCAAATAAAAAAGTCATTAAATGGTAAGAAAATACTTAAAAGATTAATTGAAAACATCGGAAATAGGCAAGATGCTTAAGTGGAAATAGGGATGTTAAAGTCAAACATATATTCAAAGAATCATATTTTATTAAATGGAAACATTTATTTACAACTTATTAATTTAGAGACAATATTTTAATTTTAATTTCGCGATTTTTGTTAAAATTGAAATACGAATATATCTTTTAACCTCCAATTGAAAAAGAATTTCAGAAACAATTTAGTAAGAAAATGTTGAAACACTGAAATTGAGAAACTCTGAACGGTAATGCGAGCGTAACAAAATGATTCAACAGACCAACTTTTCCTCAAACATTGTTTGTCACAATTCGATTTGTGATTCAATGATCGTTAAGCCCAATACATAATCGCGATGGTGTTGCAACGGTAAGTAGGACGTTCCTGTACAGAGGCCGGCGACGCCAACTCTTTTACCGTAAGCTGATGACGTCAAGAAATAATTCCTCGAATGGGGGGCATCGCGTTCACCATGGACGTGACGCGTATCACGTAATCCGCTATCAATGATTTTTTTATTAACAAGAATTTTTTTATTTATTTTATTTATTTTTTATTTTATGACGTTTATAATGTTATCGACGATTTTTTATCCTTATTCTTCTAAATTTTACTTTGGTCCATCAAAATTTTGATCAATTTTGATTTTTAAAGAATAATCGAAAAATTGTATTTATTTAAATTGGAATTTGAGAAAATTTAAAATATCTGAAATTTCTTGATCAACTTAAAAATTAATGGTTTACCGTCAAAATTAATACGAACTGGTTACTTTAGGAAGAATTCGTGCACGTGTTTAGAATACGTTATAGTTCGATACTGGTACACGTTGAGAAATCTTCATTTGTATATTACGGTAATTCAAGTCCTATTTTCATTTAAAGCAAAACTAAATTACTTGTAATTAAATAAATAAGTCTTAATTTTTATATACATATTTGACTCTCTATCTAGCATGCATTTGAAGTATCACTGTTCAAATATTTTCTGTATCTTTTTCAGATTCTAATCAAAAATTTATCCCTTGCTTCTATGTGTCTAATTCAAAAAAGAAAAAAAAAAAAAGAGAAGATTCCTCGTCCTTCGAACACTATTGAATTCTATTCGACTCTACATTCTTTTGTTAACATTTTCTATATCTTTTTCAGATTAAAAAAAAAAACTCAAAAAATCATCTCTATCTATATAATTTAAAAAAAGGGAAAAAAAGAGAGATGAAAAAAAAATGGCGAAAAATAGAACACATGAAGAGGTCACGGAGAGTGATTCGTCCTCTGAATTCCACGGCACGTTTCGTTTCTACGGGGATGGCGAGCAGGAAGAGAACGGAGATGAAGGAGAGGTCGAAGAAGAGAGAGGAAGCGGAGGACCGTTATACCGCGTTCGAAAAGATTGTTAACCTGTTTGCGCTCCTCTACTACGATGAATCCATGTGAAAACTTCTGACAAGAGCAAGGTCGTGGTCAGTGTTACACCGTACGTCAACTGGTCGCCAACATCTTCACGTGAAATTTGTAATTATTCCCTTTATGAGAAAATAACTCGATCGAGCACGGTTTTCTTTATATTTCTCGTAGAAATTTATACTTTTTACTCGTTCTGTTTATAGTTATTATAAGAAGAATTATCTTCGAATCTGACGAAAGAAAAAAAGGAAGTGAAGTGATGCTTTTGTACAAGTTGTGAAACTTATAGTGGAAAAATATTTGATAAGTTGAATTTCCTTTTTTGGGAATGATTGAAGGAGGAATATTGAATCTTTGAAAATGGATGGGCTGTTCGATTGTTTGAAAGGAGTAAAAATTTTGGAGTGTGTTTTCTTAAAAATTTTGGACCATACTGCTTGAGAAATTTTACAAAGAGAGTAAAGTGAAATGACAGAGGAAGAGAAGTCGAGTTTTATTAATTTGTTGTCAACGACGAAGAAACGATTGGATAACAAAAATTTAAGAAGAATTTATTAATTATGATCGAAGAGAAAAGTTATTTCTGTTGCAAAATTATAATAGATGCTTTAATTATTGAAAGAATAATATTCGAAGAAGTTCGAGCTATTTAGTTAGCTAGCTAGTCTATTAGATTGTAAAGTACAATATAATTATGTGAGAGAAGATTGGTAGCTAATGTAAAAAGGCAGTGTTGTGATGAAAATTTCATGTATATCGATTATTTAGAAGAAAAGAAGCTTCTAGATTGTATTGCATTTGCTATCTCTTCAGAAGTAGGTGAGCAAGTATTACTTTCCTTTTCAAACATATTCAATTTCTACCAAATATAAAATTAAAAATCTAAAATATAAAAGTCTAGTGTAACACGACATTATTGCTGTACATAAAATATTCTTTGTTCTTTCATTTTTATTGCACAAAAATTTTATTTTTCTTCGACTTTAATTTTGCTTTTAATAGCATCCACTATACATTAATATATATTAAAATTCAACAATCACTACGAAAGTTAAAAATATTACAAAGTAAATTTTTATCTAATCTAAAATATAATTATATAATAATATAATATAATCTAGAAATATAATTTTCGTTGACAATTGACTCTTATGAATATAATAACACTAATTATGGTAAGAATAGAAATCGTGGCTTTTAAATTATAAACAGTTTAGATTAGAAAATGGCACAGAAATCTAGAAAACAATAAAAAACAAGAAAACGTGATTATCACACCCGCAGTTTATAATGTAAATAATAATGATGATAGGTTGTGTAGGCCTGACCTCCTTTATATAGTATAGAATTAAACATATACTTAAATGATAGATTAGTTTAATAACTGTATAATTTCAATAGAATGATTTGAAACAAATAATACATAAAATTAGCAATATAATCGTAGTATCATTATATTATAATGGTTAAATATAATTGGTTTCTCTATTGGTCATAAAATGATTAAATTTTTAATAGAATTTTCAACAATTATTTGTCAGGGATAGACAAATCGAATTTATTGCGGAATTTTATCCTTAAATTTCTTTCCTTCGAATCTTTAATTATTATTACTTTTTTTTTATTTTAAAAATATATAAACAATTACACGATACGTTGATAAATAATCAAGAAATATTTTCAATATTTTTTCATCGATTCGTGGTAAATTAAAAATAATGCAATACAATACAATACAATTTAAATAAACTAAAAAAAAAAAAAATTTATCAAAATATTCGAATTCGAAAGAGGTAAAATTTGTCCCTTATCGAAGAAATAATTTTCGAAACGTGCTCGAATCAAGATTCGAATTGGCGAAAATTGACACAGGATCTCCCCTGCTCGCGGAATATTTCGACGATAGGATGTACGTGAGGATCATCATGACCGTACTGACCGCGATAATGGTGAATTACTTAACAACTGAAAGTTTCACGTGCCATTGATATTCCTCTCGTATCAAACCACGTGTACAATAGCCTCTGACTTTTCTTTAATCGATTTCTACGTGGCTACGAACTCGTTTCGAGGTTCGACAGTATCGAGGGATCGTTTGCTCGGGACGGTCATCCATCATGGATGAACACGAGGACGTGGCTCTGCGTTTGGATAAATAAAAATAAAATAAAAAAAATTAGTGCTCGAAGAATTGTGACATTTATTTGAGAACAATTTTTGGTTTCAATTTTATTTCACGTAGAGGTTGGAATATTATTTTATTTTCGATCAGTTTTATTAGAAATTTTTTTAAATGACTATATTAAGTGAATAATTGACAAATTGATTTAAAAATAAATTACTAAGATTTCTATTTTATTTTTGATCATTGAATGATAATTGAATAGTTTTGATTGAAGATAGTGAATGATGATTTGATGAAATTTAATATTGCAGATTGATTGATAAGAAGAAGAAGAAGAAAAAAAAAAGAATGGGTATCGAGAGCGTTTTAACTGGAGGCCTGACCTCGGCATCCAGCGGACTTTCATGGTTCTTTCCGGTGCTCGCTGCAGCCCTCGTTTATTTCGAGTACGAAGTGATGGACAACGAGGCACCACCGATTAATATACCCTCTGAAGTGCTCTTGCCTGCTTATGACTTTATTGTGGTGGGAGCTGGTTCAGCAGGTATGTTGACATCATAATTCTTGAAATAAATATAATAAAATTAATTTCTTTTCAAAAATCGTGTCCAAGGAGATAAGAATTAAACAATGAATATAGTTATTGGATAGTATATTGGATAATAGAATAATATATTCGAGTCTATTTTAATAAATATACGACGTATTTCCTTTTACTTCATTTGTATGTCGTTCAATTTATAAAAAGTAACGTTTAATGTTTCTTATTAATGTCCAATATTCTTTTACTTTCCGCAAAATTTCACATTTCACATATAGATCATGTTTATCAACTTTGTATTATATAAATATAATTTCAACCAAGTTTTATTAAACTTTCACTGTAGGAGCTGTGGTGGCAAGTCGCCTGTCTGAGATAGAAAATTGGAACGTGCTTCTTCTGGAGGCTGGCGGCGACGAAACGGAAATCTCTGATATTCCTCTGCTTGCCGGATATCTACAGCTTAGCCAACTCGATTGGCAATACAAAACTGAACCCGATGGACAGTCCTGTCTAGGTAAATAACTATCAATACCTATAATTGTTTCAAAGCAACACTGTCTTCCATGAATTTAATAGAGTATGAATATCAAATTTTAAGAAACATTGATACAAAAATTGCAAAAGTTTCAAAACCAATCTATGCGTTATTGATTTACACTGTTCAATTCTTAATAAATCTCTCTATCTTTTCAAAAAAAGAAGAATAGTTTATATTATTAAATTTTGTCATTTTCTTCCTCCCTCTTTCATATTCTTTACCATAAATTTACATCTTTAAGAAAGGAAGAAAGATGGACATAATGAGACAATTGGCAATCTAAAAAAAAATCTGTTATATCCTAAAATTGACTTCAAATTAATTTCATTTGTTACAATTTCAAAACCAATTATCCTCCATCTTAAAGGAAAAAGAAAAAAGTACCTAGAATTCATACCTATAATTCATCTGTATATAACCATAACCTTTGAACGCCTATTTTTTCACTAAAATAAAATAAATGACAGAAAAAAAAAATACTTAGAATTTATATAATTCATCTGTATACCATAATCTTTGAACACCTACTATTTCACTAAACTGTGTCCACAGCGATGAGCAACGGCCGCTGCAACTGGCCACGTGGAAAAGTAATAGGAGGGAGCAGCGTGCTCAACTACATGCTCTACCTTCGCGGCAACAAGAAGGACTACGACATATGGGAGAGTCAAGGGAACCGGGGATGGTCCTTCAAGGACGTGCTCTACTACTTCAAGAAATCTGAGGACAATCAAAACCCTTACCTGACCAGAACACCCTACCACTCAACAGGAGGTTACCTGACCGTCCAAGAGGCGCCTTGGCACACTCCGTTGGCAACTGCCTTCATCCAAGCCGGCCAAGAGATGGGATACGAGAACAGGGACATCAATGGGGAGCAGCACACTGGTTTTATGATCGCCCAGGGAACGATCAGACGTGGGAGTCGATGCTCCACGGCGAAGGCATTCCTCAGGCCTGCAAGGCTTCGCAAGAACTTGCACATCGCCATGCAATCGCACGTGACGAAAATCCTGATAGATCCAAAGTCCAAGAGGGCGTACGGGGTGGAGTTCGTCAGGGATCAGAAGATGTTCCGTATTCGTGCGAAGAAGGAAGTGATAGTTTCAGGTGGTTCCATCAATTCCCCCCAATTGCTCATGTTGTCGGGCGTCGGGCCCAGGGAGCACTTGTCCAAGCACGGTATACCGGTTGTCCAGGATTTAAGAGTCGGATACAATATGCAAGATCACGTGGGTTTGGGAGGGCTCACGTTCCTAGTCGACAAGGAGATCTCTATGGTGGAGAAGAGGTTGCACACAGTGCAAACGGTGATGCAATACGCGATATTTGGGAACGGGCCCCTGACAGTGCTCGGCGGTGTGGAGGGTCTGGCTTTCGTCAACACCAAGTACGTGAACGCCTCTGACGATTTCCCTGATATAGAGCTTCATTTCGTGTCCGGCTCGACCAACTCTGACGGCGGTAGACAGATCAGGAAGATTCACGGGCTGACGAAGAAGTTCTACGACGCTGTTTACGGGGCCCTCAACGACATGGACGTGTGGAGCGTGATACCCATGCTTTTAAGGCCTAAAAGCAAAGGTGTTATCAAGTTGCGTAGCAAGGATCCGTTCGCCCATCCGTTGATATATCCTAATTACTTCAATGAGCCGGAGGATATAGCGACGCTTGTCGAAGGTGTTAAGATAGCCGTCGCTTTGAGCAGGACCCAAGCCTTCAGACGTTTTGGGAGCGAGGTTAATTCGAAACATTTTCCAGGCTGCAAGAATATACCTATGTACAGTGATCCGTATTGGGAGTGCATGATCAGGCATTACACGGTCACTGTTTACCATCCCGTGGGCACGTGCAAGATGGGCCCTTATTGGGACCCGGAGGCTGTCGTCGATCCCGAGCTCAGGGTTTACGGAATCAACGGGTTGAGGGTGATCGACGCCTCCATCATGCCGAATTTAGTCAGTGGGAATACGAATGCACCTGTTATCATGATCGGGGAGAAGGGATCCGATATGATAAAGGAGTTTTGGTTGAAGAGAAGGAGTAGGAGAACTGTATAGCTGGTTTTGCGATGTAATTTCGACCCTCTGTGTATCTCTGTATATATGAATGTATGAATATAGTTGTTTGTAAATTGATCGATTGTAAATATTGATATTATATTTTTAATATGATTTAAGACACGATGAATTTGTAAAAGAAAGAGAACTTAGTTATACATAATTGTGTTTTGATGGTGGTATAAAGTTACACAATGTTTAATAATTTAAGTATTGTTAGGTTTTTGTGATAAAAACTGATGATACATTTAGTCTTTTTTTTAGTCCAATAAGTACTGCAAAATTTATTGAATTAATTTCACGTATTTCTTTAAATGTATTATTATTGTTGTTATTATTATTATTGTTATTATTATTATTATTATTATTATTTATCGGATTAGTTTAGTTCAAGAGATTTAATGCAAAATTGTTGGCCTTTTTATATTTGGAAAAAGTGTAGAAAGAAAGATGGAGAGAAATATTTGTAGCTCGATACTTGTGATTCCTTGAATTGAAAAGAAGAAAAACGTTTCGACTTAAATAATCTGTACAAGATATGTAAATAAGAAAATGTACAATACTATATTTCATGCATCGATATTAATTTTTATTATTATTAATATAAATATTATTAGTTTATTAATACGATACGATTAAGTATATATATATATTATTTTATTTATGTAAATCTCTCGAAAAAAATTTAAGTTTATATCGATTATTATCAATATTTTACATATATATGTTAACGTTCAATTTTGCAACTGTTGCACTCGATATTCGAACGAAAAAAACAACTGATTCAGCATGACGCAAAGCAGCAGCTTACATTTTTACATTGGCAGTTGATTTTCGTGATTTGTCGTAAAATAATTGTGATTCAACGATTGTGTGACGTTTTGTGCAATTTTTCGCATGTAAAATTTTGTAGAATTATATATCTAAGTAAAGTTTAAGAATCTATTTTTAAAAAAAATACTTTTATTCAAGACTGTTTATTTTTAGTGTTATAAAAAAAAAAAAAAAAAGAAGAAAGGAAGCTGTCACGTTTTACAGATAATCGTTTCTAGGTAAAAGGATATTTTTTTTTTAAATATTTTTAACTTAATCATAAGACAAAATGGCGAATTCAATAAATTGTCAAAATTTTCATCTAGTTTTTTAAGTAACAATTGTTTCCTATCAATTTAATTTTTGTAAAAAAATATGTATACTGAAACAGTAGATCCAATATCCATTCGAATTATTGAGATTTATCATAAATCTCAATATTTCTTATTATCGATATTAATATTGCAAAAAAAATTTAAAAATAAACATATTATCATCGGATAAATACACAAAATTAATTATTCCACAGACAACACCTCGAAGATTCCAACGATTTGGTGTTTAAATTAAACGTCAATTTTAAAAATTAAAGACACACGATAAAATCGATTAGAAGATTAAAAAAATTTCAAATTTTCGAAATTCTTTCTTTCTTCAATTGAATACAAGATCAGACGAATATCACAATAAAATAAAGAAATAAAATAATCGAACGATCGAGGATAAAATAATACGATCTTCTCTTCCCAAATAAAAAAAAAAAAAAAATGGCCGACGTCGGGAAAATATCTGCCATGAGAATAGCAATGTCGTACGGCCCAGAGCTGAGTTTCTTGGTGCTTCTTCGTATCCTGATCGGCATGTACAGATCGGATATCATTGATCACGAATCGAGGGTGAGGCCGACCCTGACCCCTCAAAGTAGTTACGATTTCGTGATAATCGGGGGTGGCTCGGCCGGCTCGGTGTTGGCCAACCGATTATCGGAGAACAATAATTGGACGGTGTTGCTGCTGGAGGCGGGCGCCGAGGAGCCAGACTTCTCCGACGTCCCATCAATATTTCCCGTTCTCCAACTTACCCCCATGGATTGGCAATTCAAGACGGAACCGTCCGACAATTATTGCAAAGCGATGAGAGCTCACGAGTGCAACTGGCCACGTGGCAAGGTAATATTCCTTTTTCATCCCGTTATTTATCAATTTTAAATAATATATATATATATAGGATTTTCAAATTGTTGAAATTTTACGAAGATAAAATTTTGTATTTACTTACTTTCCCATTACATTGCACGATTATTACAAAAGAGCGTTTGTCTATTATTTGCACCATTATATTTTAAATAAAAAATTTTTGAGAAATTATTTACAAAGAGTTTACTTATGCAGTTTAGTATAATTCCGTAAACATTATGCTAGTATCTCGTATGAGCCGGTCGAAGTATGCCAGATTATGTAATTGACACGCGCCAAGTGAAAATAGAAAGTTATTCTAATTAAGAAAGTAGATGCGTATCTAATTTATGAGATAATACTCTTAAACTCGAATATATGCACATAAAACAATTCTTATATATCAAAAATAAATTTCGATAAAACTATTAAAAATCAGCCATCACCAATTAATAAAAGTAAGCTCACTACAAATCTTTCTTTTGAATATTTTGAAAACATATAATAAAAAATCAAAACTCTCTTATCTTATCAATCACTTAAAACTTAATCATTCAAGATCATCATTTATTCAATAATCGAATCAGTTAAACGAGCAATTATTAAGAATATCTTCCCTTGTTTGTTTTGAAAGTGTAAAGAATCAATTTCTTACCTTTCAAAAAAAAAAAAAAAAAAAATCTCAAATTACGTAAGAGAATCGCACTCTTTGTATCGACAACGAAAATTCCAACATCCGTCGATTGATAGGTGCTAGGTGGAAGTAGCGTATTGAACGTGATGCTGTACATTCGTGGGAACAAAAAGGATTACGATAATTGGGAGAGGATGGGTAACAGGGGATGGAGCTACGAGAACGTGCTACCCTACTTCAAGAAATCGGAGGACATGAGGATCGAGGAGTATCGGGACTCCCCTTACCACCAGACAGGTGGACACCTGACCGTCGAATACTTCCATTATCGGTTGTCCATCATCGATTATCTGATGAAAGCCGGGACGGAGATGGGGTACGACATCGTTGACGTAAATGGACCGAGGCAAACCGGGTTCACCTATTCCCACGGAACGCTGAGGAATGGATTGAGATGCAGCGCCGCCAAAGCTTTCCTCCGATCCGTTTCCAAAAGGAGAAATCTCCATATCAGTACGAAGTCGATGGTGGAGAGGATTTTGGTGAGACAAGGCAAGTTCTATTTTTTTCATTGTTGTCCTTTATCTTAAATTAAACGAAGAATTGACATAAAGAATTTTCTTTTCGTTTAAATTTCTCACAAATGAATCAGATTTAAGAAGATATGTAAGATAATGTTCTCAAAATTGTTAGTAAAGTAATATATATATATATATTGCTTCTTAAGTCTGATTCATTTGTGAAAAATTTAGAAAGATTCTTTATGTACATCTTCATTTAATTTAAGGATTAATAAGAATTCATATAAGAATTTGTATAAGATCAATGATAATGTTCTGAAATTGTTAATAAAATGATATATATATTGCTTCTTAAATCTGATTCATTTGTGAGAAATTTAGACCAAAAGATTCTTTATGTATATCTATCTTATCTATCTTCGTTTAATTTAAGAATTAAAAATTAAATATATGTATTACATATTATATTATGAATTCTTATTAATTCTTAAATTAAATAAAGATAGATAAGAGATATATATAAAGAATCTTTTGGAAAGAATCTTTCTAAATTTCTCACAGATGAATCAGATTTAAAAAGCAATATATATATATATATCTTTATTAACAATTTTGAGAACATTGCCGTTGATCTGATATCAATTCTTATTAATTCTTAAATTAAACAAAAATAGATAAGATAGATGTACATAAAGAATCTTTCTGAATTTCTCACAAATGAATCAGACTTAAGAAGCAATATATATATATTATTTTATAAAGAATCTTTTGGAAAGAATCTTTCTAAATTTCTTATAAATGATCAGATTAAAAAGTAAAATATATTACTTTATTAACAATTTTGAGAACATTGATCTTATATGAATTCTTATTATCTTATTATATATTAGTATTATATTATAATATATATACTATATATTATATAATTCTTAAATTAAATAAAGATAGATAAGAGATATATATAAAGAATCTTTTGGAAAGAATCTTTCTAAATTTCTCACAGATGAATCAGATTTAAAAAGTAAAATATATTACTTTATTAACAATTTTGAGAACATTGATCTTATATGAATTCTTATTATCTTATTATATATTAGTATTATATTATAATATACATACTATATATTATATAATTCTTAAATTAAATAAAAATAGATAAGAGATATATATAAAGAATCTTTTGGAAAGAATCTTTCTAAATTTCTCACAAATGAATCAGATTTAAAAAGCGATATATATATATATATATATATTATTTTATTAACAATTTTGAGAACATTGTCGTTGATTTGATATGAATTCTTATTAATTCTTAAATTAAACAAAAATAGATAAGATAGATGTACATAAAGAATCTTTCTAAATTTCTCACAAATGAATCAGACTTAAGAAACAATATATATATTACTTTATTAACAATTTCGAGAACATTGATCTTATACAAATTCTTATACAAATTAAACGAAAATATTGAAAAAATTTTGAATAGATCTAAGTTATAGATTTTGCAAAATTTTACATAAAGAATTTTCTTTTCATACTTTCAACTTGTTTTAGATCCCGAAAGAAGTGAAAGCGGTAAGATCGCGAAATACATTGTTACGTTATTATACACATTAACTTATTATGGTTATTATTGGTTTTATTTCTTGTAAACTTGTTCTGAAACGAAGAAAGAAGGAAAAAAAAAAAAAAAGGAAAAGGTGTGCGGTTTTTTTCCAGATGGAGGGAAGAAGAAGGCTTATGGCGTTCAGTTTCGAGTAGGGAACTCGCGTCGAATCGTGAAAGCCAATAGGGAGGTGATTGTGTCGGCTGGCGCGATACAATCGCCGCAGTTGTTAATGGTGTCCGGGATAGGTCCGAAGGATCATTTGAGAGAGTTGAACATCTCCGTGGTCCACGATGCGGCTGGAGTGGGAAGCAATCTTCAGGATCACGTGGCCATAGGTGGAATGAACTATTTGGTGAGCAAACCGGCGAATCTCACACGATCCTTCACCTTCAACTTGATGAAGACGATCAACGCCCACTCGCTTAGATTGTTCGCCAGGAATTATAGCGGACCCATGTACTCTGTCAATGTTGCCGAGGGCATGGCCTTCATCAACACCAAGTGAGTGTGTGTTTCTCCGCGTTTCCTGTTAGATTTTGATGAGAAGAATTTTATGAAAAAAAAAGAGTGGAATACGTGATATTGGTATTTAATCGATTATGGGTTTTTGACGATATTTCAAAAGAATATTTCTGGTTATTAAATTTTTGAAAATTTGGTATTTGATCGATATAACTTTTATGAATACAAGTGAATATTTCTGGCTATTAAATTTTTGAAAATTTGGTATTTGATCGATATGACTTTTATGAATACCTAGTGAATATTTTTGGTTATTAAATTTTTGAGAATTTGATATTTGATCGATATGATTTTTATGAATTTCTGGTTAAATTTTTGAAAATTTGGTATTTGATTGGATTATGACTTTTATGAATATTTCTAGTTATTAAATTTTTGAAAATTTGGTACTTTGATCGATTTGATGATTTATATGAATTTCTGGCTATTAAATTTTTGAAAATTTAATAAAGAAGAATATACGATGTTTGGTCATTTGTCAATTTTGTTGAAATTGAAATATTTAAGAGGAACAATTTTAATAATTTTAATAAATTTTAATAAATTTTAATAATTTTAATAAAAGTAGAATTTATAGATTAGACATGTTGTGTTGCATCTTTTTAGATTCTTTCAGTTTCAGAATTTTTGAACGAATCCTCTTTATTATCTCCCTTTTCAAGAGAAACATTTAAAAAAATTTAGAATAAAATAGTACAGAATCTTTCTAACTAGATAAAACCCTAGGAATCACAATTTTCAGAATTTTGCCATATATAAATATGATAAACATGTACAATTAAGGGATCAATATTCAATTATAATTCCAAACTATTCTATAATTAAATATAATTGAACAATTGATTGAAAATTATCCGATTTTTCTATTATAAACGATATTGCGTTTCAGATATGCGAACGAATCGGCAGATTATCCGGACATACAACTGTTTCTCTCCTCCATGGCCGACAACACGGACGGTGGACTGTTCGGGAAACGAGACTGCAACATTATGGACAACTTTTACGAGCGTTTATACGAGAATATCTTGTACCAAGACTCGTACATGATCATGCCGTTGCTGCTGAGGCCAAAAAGCAGAGGATACATCAAGCTTCGCACCAGATACGTCAACGATCAACCGATCATAGTTCCAAACTACTTCGACGACCCGCACGATCTCGACGTTTTGGTAATAAAACGCAATTGACAACTGAACGATTGAATAAATAATGTGGAATCAGTGTCTTGATCCGATTTCAATCACATCTCGCTTTTGTTGATTAAATCTCTTAGAAACTCGAGTCTGGATAGATTAACAGGTATAGGATATTCAATTACTTTCTATAATATCGTCAAACTTTTAACGAACCGCAGGCGGAGGGGGCAAAGTTCATCTACGACATGAGCAAAACGGCAACGATGAAACGACTGAGAGCCCGGCCAAATCCCAACAAACTTTCCGAATGTTCCTCGTTCGAGTATCCGTCGGTCGATTATTGGCGTTGCTACGCCAGATACTACACGATGACCATTTACCACCCGTGCGGGACGTGCAAAATGGGGCCGGCTAGTGACAAAATGGCGGTGGTCGACCCAAGGCTGAGGGTGCACGGTGTCGAGGGGCTGCGAGTGATCGACGCCTCCATCATGCCCACGATCATTTCCGGAAATACCAACGCGCCGACGATCATGATCGCGGAGAAGGCTGCCGACATGATTAAGGAGGATTGGGGAGTTGAAAAAATTCCCTAGGATATTTCGAAGAAGGAATCGATCAACCTTGATCGAAAATTTTTGAAATTTCATTGCGAACAGAGGAGCAAATTTTGTGATTCTGATCGTCAATGATATCACGATTGTTCAGGGATTTGATGAATCGAAATTCCCTAGGATATTTCGAAGCAGGAATCGATCAACCTTGATCGAAAATTTTTGAAATTTCATTGCGAACAGAGGAGCAAATTTTGTGATTCTGATCGTCAATGATATCACGATTGTTCAGGGATTTGATAAATCGAAATTCCCTAGGATATTTCGAAGAAGGAATCGATCAACCTTGATCGAAAATTTTTGAAATTTCATTGCGAGTAGAGGGGCAAATTTTTTGATTCTATCGTCAATAATATCACGATTGTCCAGGGATTTGATAAATCGAAATTCCCTAGGATATTTCGAAGAAGGAATTGATCGAAAACTTTTGAAATTTCATTATGAACAGAGGAGCAAATTTTGTGATTCTATCGTCAATGATATTATGATTGTTAAGAGACTTGATAAATCGAAATTCCCTAGGATCTTTCGAAAGAGTGACAATTTTGGATTTGATTGTTGGCGAAAAATTTTAAGATTGATCGTCGTATAAAATCGAGGAATTTATTAGCATAAGTTTAAAGAATAATATTAATATTGTAAATAATGATGATAATTCTAATTATTAACGTTATCGTTTATTAATTAAATAAAAAATTCGTTTCCAATTGAAAACAAAATCGTTTTGCACCTGTATCATTGTTCTTCCGATAATAGTTACATATTACATATTACACATACAGATGGTTAGTGAAAGGAAAGAAAGTAGGAAGAAAGGAACGAAATCACCGATTTTTTTTTTTTTTAAATAATATATATACATATATATAGTTCATTTACATACACGTGTATTTCTCGACTAAATTTATTAACAACCATCGAGCACGTTTAACTGACTTGCAACTATTTTACTTCCTATTCATTTGTTTCACGATCAGAATTTCATTATAATATCATTATACCAGTTTTAATAATTAGTCGATTGGCAAGATAAATTAAATTCTTACATCAATCACCGACAATTCAAATGATAATTCCCATGATAATGCATTATTCTATTTCTTGAACTTTTTGCAGGTTATAATTAACGCGAAAAAAAAAAAAAGAAGAGGAAGAAAAAGAAGAAAAAGAAGACATCGAAAAAGATAGACAATTTTTCTCTTCTTCTTTGAAATGAAAAAAAAAAAAAAATGTAAATGGTAATTGCGTAAAAAGAAAAAGGAGTAGAGTCCTGATCTGTTGCAATTTTTCGAGCCTCCACGATTTTTAGGTATTCCTTCATGCGAGAAAGCGAGATGGAAGATAAGCCTTTGTTAACCGCTAATAGGGAATTTGCTTAAAATAAAATAATGGAACCATGAAAAATTAGGAAATAAATCGAGAGAGATGAATCACATCAAATTCGAAATCGTAACACATTTCTTATTCGAAATGAAAGAAGATGATCATATCGTCAATGATACGTTGAGGAATTTGATAAATCGAAATTCCCTAGGACACGATTTCGAAGAAGGAATTGATCAACGAAAGTTTTTGAAATTTTATTGTGAATATATTTAATCACATTTCGAAAAATTTGCACAAGCTTTAGTGAATTTTTTTGAAAAAAAAAAATTGAAGGAAATTAAAATCCATAATATACAATATCGATGGGTAATTTTTTAATTAAAATTATCTTCGTTTAATTAAAATTTCAGAGAGACGATATTGATAATAATAGAACGTAACGAGAGAATGCAACTATTGCAACGATTATTTCAACAAGCAAGGAGAAATTGTACGAAATTCAATAAAAGATTATTCATATAATAAAAGATATCCCTATTCCAATTAATCTAAAGGATAATATATATACTCTCGTCTTATCCATTATCTCAATATAAATTTTAATCCATTTATAATTTTATAAATTTCCCCTTAAAATGAATTTCGATCAGATACGAATCAAACCAAAAAAAAAAAAAAAAAAAAAAAAAAAAAAAAAAAAAGAAACGAGGCAACAAAATCAGCAAATTCTCTCCGTTCACAGTGGCTAGAAATAAAATTCACTTCACCTAGTTCCGATTCTTCCACCTGTTGAAACCTCCATAACCATTATGGTCCCTACTACATTACGTTTCACAAGCGCAACGGATTCAACTTTCCTCCGTGTGCTCCGTGAAAACAATTTTCCAACGGTGAGCCCGTTCAATTAAGGTCCCACTTTCGACAGAACAGAATCGGGCGAGAGTGAAACCTCTCGATTCAGTGATTCGAGTGTTCGATTCCGAACGAGGAAGTTTTGCGAGTTGTTCTCTTTCTTCATACTCGATTTCAAATTTTTCGATTAGTAATTTTTAGCCACGATTCAGTTCGTTGCTCTTCCGTTTCGGCGCGAATTTTGAAATCTCGAAATATCGGTGTCTCGATGTAACCACGACAGCTGATTGAATCTTATTTCAACGGGACAGGATATACGTGTATATACATTTCTTTTTTTATTATCACGGAAATCGAAATTCGGATTATGTTTGGATTAATAATAATTTGAAAAGTGAACGTGTATATTCTAATATATCATTACGTTCTTTTGTATTTTATTTAATAATCATTTTCGAACGATGTGACGTATGCCTCCCTCGATCCTTTCTCAAACCTGCAATTAATTTATAAATTCGATCGAATTTATAAATTATATTATTATACTTTTTCTCCACTCTTTTGTTTTATTAAATCTCGAACCATAATTAACACTCTGACGCGAAGAATTAGAATATTGAAAATAGCGTAAAGTGGTGGATCAAGAGATCTTGAAGATAAAACGAATTCTTTTTCAAAATCCCAACCATAGAAGAGGATAATAATTTCTGGAAGCAAAAGTTTGGAAAAGTTTATAACCAGAGGAGATATTTGAGAAGATAGATTTTTTTATTCGCATTCTCTGGATGCACGGAACTCGCTGCCACAGAAAATAATCCGAAACGTATCGGGCGGATTGGAAAGGCGGAAGTGAAAACATGTGATCGGTGGAAAAATTGAAACAAGGGGGTGATCGAGGAGAGGATTAAGAAAAAATGAGGGGGATCGGGGCACGGTGAAACTGGGGGAACTCGGTAAGAATTTCGAATAATTAAATAATGGATAAAAATTTATTTGATCGTTTCAAAGAATATCTCTTTAAAAAATATTTCTGCTTTCTGGATTATTGGAAAATTCGAGTAAAAAAAAAAAAAAAAAGATTAATTTTAAAGATTGGATTTGTGAAGTGGCATTTAAATTTTTTCCTTCTATTTTATTAATAACTTTATTCAGCTCGAGATAACGATAAAGGTACTCGAACAGGTAATCGTTTAATGAATTGGCAATATTCTATCAATTGTACGATACACAATTAACAATATCTCGTGGAATATATTACACGTCGTAATAAATATCATTTTTACGTTTGTTTTATTTACGCACAAATTCAATCATCCGTTAATTATATATCTCGAAACGAAAAAAGAATCGCCCTTATTTCGAATGAAATTGTCTCGCTTTCTCTTCCAGCGTTCGAAGCGAAAAAAAAAAAAAATATTTTTCCGCAAAAAATCCGCAATGAAATTCCGATTTATCGGAAATTCTGATTTATCGATCGAGCCAAGAATAAAATAATTTATCGCGCGTGGAGGAAGGAAAAGAAAAATTCTTCGATCTCGGATTTTCCCTTAGATAATAATTCTTATTAATATCTCAATTCTTATTATTAATATCTCAATCGTCACAGGAGTATATATATATATATTCACAACGATAAGATTCATAAAACTTAATAAAACTTTCTCTATTGATAAATCGTAAAAATAAATAATACGTGCAAGGATTCTCGTATTGATAAGAAAAAAAAAAAGAAAAAAAAAGAAAGAAAGAAAGAAAGAAAGAAAGAAAAAAGAAGCAGAAACAGATATAGAATGTTCAGAATGAATCGTAGATTTTTAATCAAGAGATATACAAGGATACGTGTGAAAATGTACAGTTTATCTCCCACGATTAAATAGCATATGGCATATGGCGTACACGTGGAGCACGTGTGCGAAGGAAAAAAAGTTGAACGTAAGAAAAATACTTGTAATACTTGTCTTAAAATAATAAAAAAAACGGGAGGAAAAGATTTAAATAAACGAAACGTGTTCTCTCCATTTTGAACGAGGTTTTTTTTTTTAATTTTAAATTTTTTTTAATCTTCGATAAAGTGGAATATTTTAACAATAATAGTAATAATAATAATAATAATAATAAAAAGAAATTATTATTTTATATTTGAAATCCGAGATCTATGAACTTTTTAGTTGAACGTGAAAAAAAATTTTTTTTGAAGAAACAAACGATTGAACAACGGAGAGGAGAAATGATAAAGAGAGAAGGTGATGTACGTACATTTGACTGTAAAACCATTTACTTATCTATACGATCTTGCACGACGTTTGACACGTAATTGATATCATCGATTTCTACACAAGTGGTCCCTTTAATCTCTAATTGTTTTGTAACGATTCGAAAAAAAAAAAAAAAAAAAAAAAAAAAAAAAAAAAAAAAAAAAAAAAAGGAAAAAAAATCGATATCATTATCAAATTTTTATCAACCAATTCATGAAACCGCATATAAACGACGGGAGAAATAAAACTTCAGTTTCGTTTCTTCGGGAATATAGAGAAGTGAAACTTTTTTTCTAATTTTCTTTCAAGGTAAGATTTCGTCCAAGGTTATTATTATCGAAACAAGATTGTTAATTATAAATTTTTTTTTTTTTAAAGAAGAAAAAACTTATCAAGAATACACTTTATCAAGTTTATACTTTTCCCCTCGCTCGTATTTTCTTCTATCATTTTCTTCGCGAATTTCGCGAACAAGAATAAGAATAAGAATAAGAAACGAACATATTCGACCGAATCATCGAAAAGTTAATATTTTCGAAAGGATACAAACACGTGACTCATTCGAGCTCTTCGAAAGAAAGGCCCCACCAACTGCGCATAATATAACGGCGTTTCGTCCTCTTTCGCCTTTTCAACCAGAAAACCAGATCCTCAAAGCGTGCTAAATCGAACGCGAATATAATTCCCCTAATTCTTCTTCCATCTAACTCAATAACCCCAACAATATCTCCTCGCCAATCTCCAAAATTTATTTATTACATGTGTCATATAATTGATTTCAAAAAAATTTTTAATCCCCTCCCCTCCTCCAAATCGAAGAGAAACGTTCTCTTATCTTCGATCGAATTAATCTCGAGCATCCTCCCACGCCTTTGTGTGTCCACTGACCTCAGGGACAACAGATAAATCCGCCCACGACTCGCCGCTCGCTTTTTCACTCTCTTTTCCTTTCGTTTTTCAAAAAACGGGGATTCCCCTCCAATTTTCATCGAAAGATCGAAACGTGGAATAAAAAAAACAATCCCTCCTCCTCTGAAATTCTTCTTTGTGTGTTCTCCATGACGTCAACTCCTTCTTTCTCCGGAAGAGAGCGAGCCTCCCTTCCCGGGCCGGGTTCGAGGAGGCCAAGAGCTCGTTAATTAGCGGCCGTCTAGTGCGGCCGTGGACGCGGCTCCCGCCGCAACGCGTGGAAAAATCGTGTGGATGGATGGATGGATGGATGGATGGATGAATGGATCGAGCTTTCACGTGGCGCAGCCTCGACTCATCTCGGGCGAGTCCCCCTTTGTGCGACCATCGAAATGAGGATCATCCATAGTGGAGCGCCACTCGCCGGCCACACTGTGTGTTGTGGCTTGCCCAAATGTCTTTCGATACTCTCTGCATCCACGACCAGCCACTTAACAGGCCGCGCCACCTCCTCTCTCTCTCTCGATCGAGCACGACTCTTCTTCTTCAGGTTGGTTGTTAAAAAAACGAATTTGTCGTTTCGGATTTCGTTAAAAATTTTTCTCTTCTCGTTTGTATTTTTTTTTTTTGTGCTTCTCTTTTAGGGAGAAGAGATTAGAATAACGAGTCATTCGGATTGTTAAAAATTTTTTTCTTCTCGTTTATATTTTTTTTACTTCTCTTTTAGGGAGAAAAGATTAGAATAACGAATCATTCGGATTGTTAAAAATTTTTTTCTTCTCGTTTTCGTATTTTTTTTGTGCTTCTCTTTTAGGGAGAAGAGATTAGAATCATTCGGATTGTTAAAAATTTTTTCTTTTCATTTGTATTTTTTTTGTGCTTCTCTTTTAGGGAGAATCATTGTTAAAAATTGTTTTCTTTTCGTTTGTATTTTTTTTGTGCTTCTCTTTTAGGAAGAAGAGATTATAATAACGAATTATTCGAATTGTTAAAAATTTTTTTCTTCTCATTTGTATTTTTTTTGTGCTTCTCTTTTAGGAAGAAGAGATTAGAATAACGAATCATTCGAATTGTTAAAAATTTTCTTCTTTGTATCTTTTTTGTGCTTTTCTTTTAGGGAGAAGGAATTAAATATTCGAGATTAGAATAACGAATCATTCGAGTTTTTTGATCGATAGAGAGTAGTAGATTTTTTGGGAGTTTTATTTTCGAGAGAATTTGAAATTTTTTCTTTTTTTTTATAGGAAATTGTCAAATTTTTTTAGATTGATCTGAAATTTTAGTGGGTCAATAATTTACAATTTTTTGTTTTGATTCTCTTCGGGAGAAAGAAGTTATTTGGATTTAGTTTTTTAATTCTACGAGATAGCTTTGGTTTTTTCTTTCTTTTTTTGGACGATTATTGAATTTATGTAACTAATAGATAGAAATATATTTGTAATAATAAATAAAACGATGACGTGCACGTGGATTTAATTTTAATTCGAAGATTGAATGAGATTGTTGAACATCGTAGTGAAAGGAAAACTGAATGGATATATATATATATATATATAAAATTATGAGTTTGTATCGATAGAATAAATCAAAAGGAATATTTTCTTCAAAACGACGATTCTCTTAAAAAACAAATTTTTTCATTAATTTTCCAATTCTGATATAACGTAATACGTAATTAAAAAAGAAAAAAAAAAAATATTTCGTATCATGGAAATTAAAAATAAAAACGCGTGATTTCCTTCCAATCATTACGAATCCTACAATACAATTATAAGTGTCGAGATTAAAAAATTAAATTTTCGAATTATAAAAGTTAAATACATAATTATTCGATTAACAATTTGAGAAGGAATGAACAAATTGTGGGAAACGATCATTTTGTTCGAAACAATCATCCGAGAAACGTTAAACGAAATAAAAAAAAAAAAAAAAAAAAAATTCACTTTCAAATCCCATATATCATTCCTCTCTTACAAAAGCAAATTCCCCGCACTTTCGAAAGTCTGTTTCCAACGATTTTGCACGATCCAAGACAGGGTTAATTGCTCTCTTCAAGACTGACAAGACTTTCACGCATAAAGCATCACGAATTGTAGAGCGCAAAACCAACTCTGTGATTCATCTAAACGCGTGTTATCTATTATCAAGGAAGGACTGTAATCTAATTTATTCAAAAAATAGGTGCAACGTCGCTTGACAATATTTATATGTGTGTATACAATATCATTGAATGTCGTCGAAAGAACAAAATTTTTCTAAAAATTTTCTATATCATCGATTTAAAATTTCGAGATTTCACAAATTGCGAGTTATCGTTTGGAAAATTAGGAAAAACTTTTGGCTTTAAACGCGTTGCGACTATGTTTGCATTTATTATAGTTGATCGCGCAATCCAAGTTTTCGAATTACATCGAATCCTAACTTTCATTAAAAAAAGAAAAAAGAAAATTTTATTTGCTTAATCGATCTGGTATATGTTCGCAAGTGATCCTTAATCGAGCAAAATGAGATTCTACATCCTGCTCTCGTTCCTGGTGCGATTGGCGTTCACGTTTCGACTACCGTTTCAGGTAAATAAAATCGATCGATCGATCGAGATGTTTATTATCCATGCGGAAAAAATTCCAATTTGTTGATGGCGATAAATTACGTAAAATAAATTGCGTAAAAATTGCCACGCTCCAATGATAGGAGTTTCCGTTTGATGTGTGTTGAATTGTTCGAAATTTTCTTTGAGAAAAAATTGGTAAAATTGGTAAAAAATGGTACTAATTTTTCTCTTTTTTTTTTTTAACGAATATGTATTATTTATTCACATTGATTTTAATTTCATTTCCTTTCGTTTGAATTTTTTTTTAATTTTTTCAGATTTCTTTAAGAAAAAATTGGTAAAATTGGTAAAAAATGGTACTGCTTGTAATTTTCCCTTTTGACGAATATGTTATAATAATGTTATAAGAAACTTATTTATTCACATTGATTTTAATTTCTTTTCAATTTTTTTTTTAATTTTTTCAGATTTCTTTGAGAAAAAATTGGTAAAGTTGGTAAAAAATGGTATTGTTTATAATTTTTCCCTTTTTCTTTTAACGAATATGTATTATTTATTCACATTGATTTTCATTTCTTTTCGTTTGAATTTTTTTTTAATTTTTTCAGATTTCTTTAAGAAAAAAATTGGCAAAATTGGTAAAAAATGGTACTGCTTATAATTTTTTCCTTTTTCTTTTAATGAATATGTATTATTTCTTCACATTGATTTTAATTTCATTCCTTTTAATTTGAATTCTTTTTTAATTTTTTCAGATTTTTTTAAGAAAAAATTGGTAAAACTGGTAAAAAAATGATAGTGCTTGTAATTTTTTCCCCCCTTTTTTTTTTTTAAAGAATATGTAACATTCGTGTGAGAAACTTTTATTTATTCACACCAATTTGATTTTAATTAACCCATTTAAGTTTATGTTAATTAGTTTAACAATCGTATATATTATATCGTAACAATTAAATTTCATTCGTTTTAACTTCATTAAAATGATTATTATCCAGAGATTAAAGTTGATTACAATTTGAAGCAGGAATTTATATACACATTTATATAATTATTTTTTCTTTAAAGAAATAAATTAATCTTTGAACTTGCATCATCGTGTTGTTGTAATTCAGATAGAATGAGTTTAATTCTCAATCGTTACGAAAAAAATAACTCACGAGATAATAAACTAAGAGGCAGCCTATTATTTGGTATCCCAACGTAACGTGAACTCAATAACAAATTCATTTCTTCGTCCAATCTTCTCCAACTCTAATTTTATATTCCAAAACTAATACAAAATTAAATGTCAAAACGTTCACACAAGAAATAATTTATTATATTATATCTCGTTAAACAGTTTCACATCAGCCAGTTGGACAACAACAACAACGGAACATCATGTTGCTCGTGCAACTCCTTCAAAGACACGTCGTACATGGCATCAACGTGCGGAGTGAAGACATCTTTTATGAGCTTGGTCGAGAAAGTTATCGCCTCTACTTGCGATATCGCTAATCCTTGCAACAGGCTTGGCAGCGAGGAGGTGCCCAACGAATGGTAAAAATTTTTTTTTTCTCCCCCCCCCCCCTTCTATATAAATCTCACTCTCATTAAATAAATTTATTTCCAAATTATTTTTTCCATCAAATTAATATAAGACACACATATATGTAATTTAAATTCTAATTAATTCTCCGATGCATCGCGAGAACATAGGTTCGATTTTATCGTGGTTGGAGCAGGGGTGGCCGGGCCCGTAATTGCCAGGAGATTAAGCGACAATCCATGGTGGAACGTTGTGCTGATCGAAGCCGGGCCGGAAGAGCCCTCGATGACTTCGATTCCTGGACTCGCCGTTCACGCGGTCAACTCGACGTTGGATTGGAGATTCAAAACCGAGCCCACCGAACCCCACCCCACGGCCTGTTTAGGTGAAATAATTGCATTAGAAAAATAGATCGTTGACAACGAGCGTGACTCGAATTAATTATTCGACCAGACGAGCGATCCTCGTTAGAGATAATTTATTGCTCGAAACGTAATAATAATTGTAGTGGATGGTCGAGATTATACGAAAAAGTAAAACAGTTGAAAATTTTGAATAAAGTTACTTCAAGCAATTGCTTAATTAATACGCTTAAATTTTATTCGTAGCTATTATATATACAGTCGATTCTCACATTACAATTATTTGCGATAAATTATTAACTCTTCGATTCTATGTCAAACAGCCATTCTCTTACATATCATATAATTTACTTCTAGCTGTGATGGGCAAAATTTAACAGTTAAACTTACGAATAAACGCAACGATAATAGCTACTCGAATAAAATCAATTATTTATTCAATAGCTATTCGATATAAATTTTATAAATAAATCTTTACTCGTTTCTCAATTAGAACACGACGGAGTGTGCTCGTGGCCACGTGGAAAAATGATGTCAGGCACGGCTGGCATGTACGGCATGATGTACAGTAGGGGACATCCAGAAGTGTACAACAGTTGGGCGCGTGGTGGCGCCACCGGTTGGTCGTACGACGAGGTGACGCACTATTTCGAGCGTGCCGAGGACCCGATCAATCAATCGATATTATCCGACAAGCCGAGAACGGTACCCGTCCCCGGCCCCATGAAAATCCAATTCTATCCCGACAAACCGGCGTTCGCCGACGAGATTCTGAAAGCTGCGTCCGAGCTCGGTTACAGAACGTCGAATTTGAAGGAGTTCACGCAAACGGGTTTCATGATCGCCCCGATGACGACCGACAACGGTGTACGAGGGACGGCGACGAGGAATTACCTTAGGCCGGTCCACGGTAGGCAGAACCTGAGAGTGTTGATAAACGCCCACGTGACCAAGGTGCTGATGGACTGGCAGGGGAAGGCGTACGGCGTGGAACTGGTGGACAAAGACGGGTACAAGAGAATCGTGAAGGCGAACAAGGAGGTGATCCTGACGGGGGGGACGATCGGGTCGGCTCACATCCTGTTGAATTCTGGGATAGGGCCCAAGGATCAATTGACCAAATTGGGCATGCACGTGGTCAAGGATCTGCCCGTGGGGAAGAACCTTCACAACCACGTGTCGATCGCCGTCCAATTCAGCATCAAGGACACGGCTTACGAGGCGATGACTATGAACAGCGTGAACGAGTATCTGGAGACCAGGACCGGGCCCATGACGAGCACCGGATTGACCCAGGTCACGGCCTTCTTCGAGAGCAGTTACGCGGTCACGGGTATCCCCGATATCCAGGTGTTCTTCGACGGATTCGCGCCCAGGTGTCCGAGGACGGGACTCGAGTTCGAGTGTTTGAACGGGGCGCTTGGCCTGTGCCCGGAAAGGAGACAGATCGTAGTCAGGCCCACGGCACTCACGGCGGCAAGCAAAGGCTACTTGAAACTACGCTCGAGCGACCCGTTGGACCCGCCTCTCATGTATCCTAATTATTTCGTCGACACGAAGGACTTGAAGGTGTTGGTCGAGGGTATCAAGAAGTCCATACAACTCGTCGACACTCAGGCACTCAAGCAATGGGACTTCAAACTCGACACTGTCGTCCATCCACTATGCACGGAGTAAGCGATTAACCTCTCTAATTTCCATCGACACGTTGTAATTTTTTTTTTCCTTTTTTCACAGTTATCACTTCGGCAGCGACGCGTATTGGGAGTGTTACGTGAGAGCGGCGACCGGGCCCGAGAATCACCAATCGGGCACGTGCAAAATGGGGGCGTACGACGATCCAACAGCCGTCGTGGATCCGGAACTTCGCGTGCGCGGCGTATCGAATCTCAGAGTCGCGGACGCGTCCGTGTTTCCTCTCGTGCCAAATGGCAATCCTGTCGCCGCCATCTTGATGGTCGCGGAGAAAGCCGCAGACATGATCACGCACACGTGGTCCAAGATATAACTTTCTAGGGAATTATGATATGCAGTGTAGAGGCGCTGCTGATCATACAAATTTCGCGTTATTTCGAAATTCAAGCAAGGAGAATTAGATTAATGAATTGTGGGTATTTTCTATCTGGTTAACACCACGATGTTTGTTGTAGATTTAAATTTATGTTATCAACGAGGTCTGCAATATTAATTTTGGAATAAAATTCTAAATTTTAAGTACGTTTGTAAAACGAAGATTTATCTTATCTACGGATAAAATTGTTCCTAATAGTTTTTCGAATGCCAAATGAATTTTGTAATATATTCGTTTGTAATTCCATATTTCTTTTAATCCAATTATTTCGAGATACATTGGCACGAAGAAAAGAAGAGATAGATATTATAGGGACAGATAGAGAGTGATATCAAAAAAATATTTAGAGTTGTATATATTTTTTTTTTCGATATTTTCTCAACTTCGATCATTCTATTTTCAAAATTTTAGGAATTTTCTTTAGGTGATTCATGAACGAGCGTTTGATAAAAAGCAAAACGTTTCTTTAGACTTTGAATTATTCAGAGTAAGAATGACATCTTGGCCTATATTATCATATAATTGTTAGAACGTGTTTCTCTGAATTTTTAAACTTTATGATCTCGAAGAAAGATAAACTTTCGTTAGCATATGAATTGCTCTCGATCGTTTGAAACAGAATTTTTTTTTAAATTTACTTCGTGATAAACAACGTTCGATATATAACTCCATCGACGAATTGGAGGAGTCGTCGCATTGTTTTAATAAAAATTGTTTCTTCAAACACGATAAATCATTCCTAATTATTTTTATTTCCGCACATATTGCACTTGTTGAGCCTGTTATCATCGTTCAATCTGCCATTTCATAACGAATATATTTTTTTTCTCCCTTCGATATCAGAAATATTTGTTATCTTTGTGATTGAAGTGAATGAAGTTTAGTGTTTTATCATACATTTTCACAAATCACGGAAAGGATTAAAATAAAATCTCATTGATGACGATGATGAAACGTTTCTATTTATAATATTTATATCTGTAAAGCTGTTCAACGTTTTCTTTTTTTTTTTTTCTTTAAATACTTTACACATATCTTTTTATATTATTTTAATGATAATTTTATTGCATCCAGTCAAAGAGAATAGATTTATAAAGGTAAACACGTACGAGATATCCAATTGCACGTCTAGGAAGTAAATATGGATTCAATAAAATATTAAAAATACGCGTTAATATATGATACGATCTTTTCACATCTTGCGGTTTTTTCCGTCTACAAATATAATGTAATTAAATATAATGTAATTAAATATTATTTCTCACTTTTACGAGGAGAAATCCGGTCAATGTAAATAATATCAGATATTGAATAATATTAATCCATATAGCATTACATTAGTCTATACGTTAAATTTATCTCTTTTAACAATTCTCCATTTCTTTTTTTTTTTTTTTTTTACACAAATTGATAATTATTCGTAATCGACAACTCAAGGTATCTTTCATTATCATGGATACCTTGAATATACATTAGAGAAAATAAAATAAATAAATAAATTACGAAGAATTTTTCTCCTTTCTTCCTTAGTATATATTTATTTTTCAAAAAGTATTTTTTTTTTCTTCGAATAGTTTTTAAATTAAATTTAAATTTCCACGAGTCATTCGATCGATAAACGAGTTTTATCGATAAGATTTATTAGGCAAGATTATAATATACAATAGATGAATTAATTATTTATCCTTTATTAACGATTATATTATTTTCCACGACAAATAAAAAATTAAAAAACCTTTCAATTGTTTTTTCTCGAACGCACTATATTTGGAATACGATAATTTTTCGTAATTTTTCTGTAGAAAAGAATGCATCCATGAAAGAGAGAAGTTGTACGTATATATATAGTATATATAAAATAGTGATACATTATTGTATTCAAATGTAAACTGAACTTTATCAGCAAAAGAATTGGAAAGCAAAGTTCTTATTCGAGGTAAGGAAATTGCAACGTACTCAAGGAATACTTGTATCTAAGCATGTGAGTGAAACGTATCAATTTTTTTTACAAGTATTTATCAAATTTGTTATTATAACGTGATAGAAAAAAAAACGTATAGAACTTTTGGAATTTTATTTAATATAAATTTTCGTCGATCGATTTTAATTTTTCGTATTTATAAATAAAATTAAATATATATACATATACATTGAAAAAAATCATTCAGATTTCTCTATGGAGAAAAATAATAAAAATAGGTCAACCGCGCCATCCAACGTGAGAAACTAAAACTACTGACTTTCAAATATTATGACAACGCATGAATAATCAGCTCGCCAGTCTATATAAATCTGTGGAGCTTGTGGAACATGGGGAAATAAATGTATTTAATTGAATTTCATTTTCAATTACGTTTTTAATCAATGAACAAGTAGTTTATATTTCTCGTTCTGTTACATATTTGGCTGATAAAATAATCTTGTTTCGAAAGAACTAATAATAATAAATAAAATTTAAAAATTAAATTTTTCATATTTATTCAAATTTAAATAATAAAATAAGAACACAGTGAAGAAACTTCGTATATCTCGAAGAATAATATAAATATCGATCGAGATATTTAAAATCAATTTCTTCGAAATTATCAAATTTCGATGAGATGTAAAAATATAAAAGTGTAATTTTATTGTATTAAATTTTTACTTCGTGCAAAGAAATCGGTCAACAAATTCAGAAGAAGGAACATGGACTCGTGTATGGCGCCAGGGATGACATCGTCCCCCCATCAAGCCTCCATTTTCACTCTGTTGCTGCAAACCATAATGGCCTCCTATTACGACTTAAACAATCCACGCCAATACCCCATCGATCGTACGGAAGAGATTTTAAATTCGAACAAGGAATTCGATTTCGTGATAGTCGGGGGTGGAACGGCAGGATCCGTTTTGGCGCACAGATTGACGGAAGTGAAGGATTGGGACGTGCTGTTGGTCGAAAGGGGAGAGGACCCTTTACCCGAAACCGAAGTACCCGCTCTTGCTTTCAGCGCCATTAACACATCCCAGGATTATCGTTACACGGTAATATATTATTAAACATATATTAATATATAATACATTTATAAAGAATTGTTCGTCAGATCGCTTAAAATTTCTTAAATTACTTTTTTTTTTGATCTCTAACATAAAATTCTCGATCAAACTTTTTTTATTCCTATTATTGAATAAAAAAAATTATAATAATATTAATTTACTTCAAATTTCCAAAAAAACCGAGTACCAAGAGATCCGATTGTAATTCAAATTGTAACTTCGTTCGACGCCTCGATGATAAAATTCTTATTCGTATTATTGAATAAAAAAAAAAAAATTATAATAATATTAATTTATTTCAAATTTCTAAAAGGAACAAGAGATCCGATTGTAATTTAAATTATAAATTCATTCGATGCCTCGATGATAAAATTAAAATCGATGATAAAATTAAAATCGATGTCTCGATGATAAAATTAAAATCGATCGAATATTATTATTGAATAAAAAAAAAAATTATAATAATATTAATTTATTTCAAATTTCTAAAAAAACCGATTGTAATTTAAATTATAAATTCATTCGATGCCTCGATGATAAAATTCTCGATCGAATATTATTATTGAATAAAAAAAAATTATAATAATATTAATTTATTTCAAATTTCTAAAAAAACCAATTGTAATTTAAATTATAAATTCATTCGACGCCTCGATGATAAAATTCTTATTCGTATTATTTGAATAAAAAAAAAATTATAATAATAATTATTATAATAATATTAATTATTATAATAATAAATAATAATAATAAATTATAATAATAAATTAATATAAATTAATAATAATAAATTAATAATAAATAATAAATTAAAAAAAATATAATAAATTATAATATTAATTTATTTCAAATTTCTAAAAAGACCGAGTACCAAGAGGGTGCCTGTATGAGTATCAAGGACAAACGATGCAAATGGTCGAAGGGTAAGGCCCTGGGTGGAAGCTCGGTGATCAACGCCATGTTGCACGTGTTCGGGAACAAGATGGACTACGACAGTTGGGCGAGCGAGGGGAACGAGGGATGGAATTACGAGCAAGTTCTCCCATACTTTCGAAAATCGTTGAGCTGTTCGCCGGACCACGTGGCCCGATTCGGTGCCGATTACTGCGGCACGGACGGACCGATGAGGATCAGGAATTATAATTACACGGCAACGGATATACAGAACGTGATACTGGAGGCGGCGCGCGAGTTGGGATACGAGATCCTGGAACCGTTGAACGGGGACCGTTTCGTGGGATTCGGCAGGGCCATGGGCACCCTCGACGACGGGCGGCGTCTGAACGCCGCCAAAGCTTTCCTCTCCCCCGTCAAGCACAGGAAGAATCTGTACGTGATGAAGTCGAGCCGAGTGGACAGGGTGCTGTTCGAGGAGGATGGACGGGCGAGCGGAGTGAGAATCACGTTGAAGAACGATCGTAGGATCGACGTGAGGGCGGCCAAGGAAGTGATCCTGTCGGCGGGGAGCGTGGCCAGTCCCCAGATACTGATGCTCTCGGGGATCGGGCCCAAGGAACACTTGGAGGAGATGGGGATACCGCCTGTCCACGATCTACCCGTCGGGACTAATCTTCAGGATCACGCCATATGGCTGGGCACGTATCTCTTGTTCGTCAACGAATCCGTCACCTCACCCCCGCCCGTGGACGCGATCTACGACTCGGCCTACCAATACTTGATCCACAAAACCGGCCTGTTGAGCGATCTACCGATCGATCTCCTAGGCTTCGTCAACGTGACCGATCCTTCGTCCAAGTATCCGGACGTTCAATTCATCGTAGCGCCGGTTTATCGTTTCGACAGGAACATATTAACCACCGTGATGAACAGCTTCGATATGATGGACGACCTGGTTACGGACATGTCACGCGTGATCACGAAGACGAGCCTGGTCATAGTTTGCCCTATACTGTTGAAACCGAGGAGCAGAGGAGCGGTGAGATTGCGCAGCATCGATCCCGCCGATCCCGTCAAGATTTACGCGAATTACTTCGCCGAGAAGGGCGATCTGGAGACGTTGTTGAAATCCGTGGACGTGGTCAAGGCGCTGTTGAACACCGAGACCCTGAAGAAGCACGGCATGCGGTTGCACCACCTCGATATTCCCGGATGTCGGCACACGGAGCCCGATAGCGAGGAGTATTGGGAATGCAGCATCAGGCACGTGTCCGCCTCCCTGTTCCACGCGTGTGGAACGGCCAGGATGGGGCCGGCCGACGACTCGAGAACCGTCGTCGACTCGAGATTGAAGGTGCACGGAGTCAAGGGTTTACGAGTGATCGACGCGTCGATCATGCCGAGTATCATTAGCGGGAATACCAATGCACCGACCATGATGATTGCCGAGAAGGGGGCGGATATGATTAAGGAGGATTGGTTGAAGAATTTGCGAGCGGAGGAAGGTGACGATACGCGGCAGACGTGCGTGTAAAAGATCGTTTTCGGATGTTTAATGTAGTAATCCTCTTCTCTATCTTTGTCCGTGAGAGATGGGCAAAATTGTAACGAAGCTGAGAATAAAATTACTTCAATAATTTGTTCATGTGGATAAGTATAAAAAAGAGGATCGATATATTTTAAATAATAAAATTATTAAAATAATTTTCGAAATTTCTTTTTCAACAAAATAATATTCAACTCTGCGCATGTAACATATACGATAATGTAGACAAGCGAAGAAAGATGGAAATACGCAGCAGTATGCGTATAAAAGATCGTTTTCGGATGTATAGTATAGTGGCAGGCTTGAACGTACTTGTATATTCTTTCTATTGTGCTTTGCCTGCGAGAGATGGACAAAATTATAACGTTCGAAATTGAGAATAAAATTACTTCAATAATTTGTTCATGTGGATAAGTATAAAAGAGAGGATCGATTCGAATATATTTTAAATAATAAAATTATTAAAGTTTCGAAATTTCAATTCTGTTTACTCTTTCAACAAATTAATGCTCAACTCTGCGCATGTAACATATAATGTAGACGAGTGAAGGAAGATGGGAATACGCAGCAGACATGCGTATAAAAGATCGTTTTCGGATGTATAGTATAGTGACAGGCTTGGACGTACTTGTATATTCTCCCTATAGTGCTTTGTCCACGAGAGATGAGCAAAATTGTAACGTTCGAAGTTGAGAATAAAATTATTTCAATAGTTTATTGTTTAGTTAAAGTATCGAATAATTTGTGGATAAGGATTGATTCGAATGACTTTTGAAATTTTAAGTCTGGTTACTTTTTTAATAAATGCCTCGCACAATTGAGTATATAACATATACATATAATATAGACTGCTAGTTCCACTTCACTCTCCTCTACAAGGAGTGGGGAAAAGAGTCTGTAGAGTTGGGCATTATAACCTATTGAAAAACTAGTTAAAAATTTCGAATAAAATTACTTTGAATAATTAAAATAATAACTTTATTCTATAATAAAGAGGTTTTTGATGTCAAATTTTTTTTTGAGAGGAGAATACGTGATTTATTCTTGCTGCTATTCCCTCGCAAGCAAATTCCCTTGCAAGCTTTTACCAAAGTCACGTGACATATCTCTACCTAATCTAACAATTGTAGTAGGGATAACATGAATACATGACGTCAATGTATTTTTCTCTTGAGGAAATTGAGAAGGAATTGAGAAGCAACAGAGGTGGACAAAATTTAATAGTTGAAATTAAGAATAAAGTTATTTAACTTAATTCAAAAATTTTAATTAATTTCTTTAATAGATTAATGGTTAACTCTGGAATTAGGCCAATTTTTGGTGAGAGAGAAGGTAACATGAATTTAATTTTCATTATCAGTATGTGATTTGCCCATTTTTAATTAATTCCATATTTTCTCGTCGTGCTTTGCCTCATATATATACTAATACTCATATGTAGTAATATACAGTTTCATAGTGTGGTGGGGAAGCACAGAAGTGGGGCAGAAAAGACATGCGACTCGTAAGTCGTCCAAGTCTGCAGTGGAGCGTTGATTATTCGAACTGCTGGATCCAAAGTGGTTAGAATTGTTCGGATAATGAAACATCCGTGTACTTACTTATCCAATTGTAACTAGTAGGAGTTACATGTAAAATTACTTTTTAAATACAAAAGTAATACTATTAATTTGAAATGTAAAATTTACGTTAAGTAATTACGTTAAGTAATTATTACGTCAATGCCGATTCGAAGAGAGATACAACTTTGATTCTAATGATTCGAATGATAGACGAGAAAAGAAGAAATAATAAAAAAAAAAATATTATTATTATAAATTCACATTGCATGATGATATCCTTTTGATTTTTGATAATGTGATTAAAAATTAACAATATTTTTTATTATTTTTTTTTATAAATGTTATTCATCCTTGTACAATGTTATGAATTACTTTCTTGAAAAATTGTTTCTTGAAATGCGATAGCAATTCTTGGAATCGTTAACATTCCAATGCATTTTACAGTTGTTCTGTAATTCACTGAACGCATTTACGTTAACGAAAATTCTTATTAAAATGTAATCTATTATTAATTTAAAATTAAAAAAGGAGAATTTGATTTTGATAAAATGCAAAGAAATATTTCTATCGAGAGCGCTATTGATGATAAATAAAATTTTAAGAATAAAAACCAAAATCAAAATATAACGTAAAATATAATCGATAATGCGACACGACAATTAATAATAATGTTTTAATATAATATCATCGAGGAGAATAATTATTTTACGACAAGAGAGATAACAGTTGAGTTTTATAATTCGATTCGATAATAACGTTCGATAAAAAATAACGAGATGAAAAAAAGAGGTTTCGATGTTTTATTACAAGGAAAACCGTGAAATGCGAAAGTGAAACGAAATCGACGATGATATGCAGACTGACTTGCCACGTGAAAAAGTTATTGTAAGAGGCTGTAAAGCCGGCGAATAATACCATGAATAATAGAAAATAAAAAGTATCGAAGTAGAGCGGAAGCAGAGCAAACACGATCAGGTTGATCGCTCTGTAGCTAATAATTTGTAAGATCCTTTCTAATTGTGCTTACAATCTACTGCTATCGATAACACACAGAAATGTGACGAAATAAATAAATAAACGACTTTAAGTAATATTGCTTAAAGTGAGATGTTATTACAAAAGATGTTGTTATATGGAATGCAATATAAGCTAATATAAACTAATATAAGCTAATATTTGTATTGAATATATAATAATGATAATAAAATCTTTGGAACACTTTTTATACTTGATTTAAGAAAAATCTTATTTAAATATACCAAAATATCAAATCTCATTTTACTTAATCCTTTTGTAGAAATATCGAATATCACATTTTAAATTTAAAACTCCTTAATTTCCTAATTCAAGATACTTGATGAAGTATCAATCCTCTTTAAAACGCCGATAAATTTTAAAAATATCGGCAAATAGGAATATAAAAATTTTTACAAATGGATCTGCCTCTCTCGTCATCGAATTCGATTCATTCGATCTTATGAATTTCGTTGTAATTTTAATCGAGGAAAGTGGTTACTCGTTAATAAACGAAAGCGTGCACCTCGAAAGCAAAAAAAGTAGAGACAGGAGGGAAGTGGCAAGAAACCAAGGCACCGAGAGAGGAGCACCACTTTCGTTCAAATCAATCGTCAATGGTCCGCCACCCTTTCAGCACTAAAGAATTCAGTTTTCCATTTTTTAAACAAATAAGTGCCGTTCTGCTTTTTATATATAAAAAAAAAAAAAAAAAAATAAATCCATTGTGCACGATTTTAAATTCAAAAATTAAGAGTGAACAGTGTGAGATTAAACAGTGTAAAATCAAGAAACTCTTTGATCAATCTTTTCTTCTTAATTTTAATTACGAGATAGGAGTTTATTTTCTAGATATTTGACTCGATACGTGAAGTTTATTTATGCAGAAGAATTTATACGTTCGAATACGTTCGATTAAAAATCCAGGTATCTTTAATCGATCGATAATAAAAATGTAATATATATTACGAAAGGAATAATATAAGAATACGTGATCAATCACGTAATAAATTAACGATTACTTAAATTAAGATAGTTAGATGAAGAATTTTTAACGTTAAATGGTTATTAGTCGCTGCAGTTGACAAAAAGAAACGTGGTTAAAGAAACGTCTGTTTAAAGAACGAAAACGTAACCATTGTTCTTCACTTCCACACGTGTGTGTATACGGCGATACAATGAACTCTTTGTCGCTTAAGTGCGACACGACATTCGAAACTCCTTCTTTCTTTTGCCGAACACAATAGGCACAAAAACACACACAAAAACAAAAAGAAATAAAAGGAAAGAAATAAACAGACGAGTCACTCTTATTTCTTCGACTCTCTTTAATTATTTTATTCTACGAAAAACGTATATCCAAAATCTTTCGTTTGTTTTCTTTTAAAAACAATCTTTCGTTCTTTTCGTCAAATTATATATCAAATATCGTTTTCTCATCCAAAACAATTTAGAATTCCATTCTAGGAGAATGATCAATCATCCAATTAAATTCTTTTACTCATTATTAAGAAACTTATTCGTGATTCGTGATCCACCATCATCTTCTCTGGAAAACGATTCCTCCTCGTGCAAACACAATTTAGAAAAAAGAAAAAAAATCGATAATTGCTGAAACTTTGCCCAACAGAGGAAGGGAATCCATCATCCTCGAAAGTTATGTCGTGGGTGCCACCGGACCTAGCAACTCTTTGCCAGCCACATTCCACCGTGTCTACCTGCCAACCGCCGGCCTTCATGTTCCTGGCTCTGGTCGCGCATCTATTTGGCTATTCCCAAGACCCTTTCTACCGTCCACCTCGTGATTTCGACTCGTTTCGCCCGTGGAAATTCGACGAATGCGCGAGACGTTCGTCCAAGGACACGTTACGCGGTCACAAGATGGAGGACGATGGAGGAGGATCGGTGGAGTTGTCGAGAGAGGAGGATGAAAGTGACGAAAGGGAGACGATTAAATCATCGATCGTGAATTTCGGAGAAATTTGTAACTTTTATCCTTCCGAAATCGTCCGTGAATCGTTGACTAAAATTTACGATGCAGTACGATTTGATCAAGGTAAACGTCCCTTTTTTTTATGAATAAAAAAGGAAGAATAGATACGCGAAAGAAAAAATTATTCCGGTTGATTATTTGTTAAATTTCTTTTTTTTTTTGGTAATTTGTCAATATAATTATTAATCGTTGCAGAAAGAATTTATATTCCGAGAATGTTGAACGACATTGCGTCTCCAATGTATTCGTTGGAGAGCGAGGATCAAGTAAATCGTCAAGATGATAGTTCAAAGGCGGTGGAAAGAATTTTCATCGACAATCGAGACGAAAATGTTCAAACGATTTCTTCGTACGAAGCTTGGAGAGGTGGTTTCAGTGATTTTGATCGGTACAAGAATTTTATGTATCCTAAGAAGTTGGTGGATAGTCAGATTGGCGTCAATTTTCCGCAAATTTCCACGAATTTTCCTAGAGAAGAGTACGATTTTATTATCGTTGGAGCTGGGTCGGCTGGATGCGTTCTCGCGAATAGACTGAGCGAAGTAAAACACTGGAAGGTATCTATTCGAGAATAATTTTAACGAAGATTTGTTGTATTTTGTTACTTTAATCAGTAGAAAGGCAAAAGTATTCGATTAAGAGAATTTTTATGTAATAGAATGTACTGTTGGAAAGTATTTTTTGAATTTCATTTCGTATTATTCGTATTTTCCCGCGAAAACGTAGAGAGCGCTTTATTCAATATGGCTGACGAATTCTATTTTCCAATTAGATCTTTTCGAATTATCTATAATTTTGATATTTCTAGTTGTAGGATTAATTATTTCGTATATTTTTATTGTTCAGAAAGTAAAACAATTTTTAATGACATTCTTTTATCTTTTAAATTACAACAATTCAAATATTTTTGAT